ACATGCTTATCCCCAACTTTTCTGTCCACGCGGAATATTTATTGCAAGAAATTTAAGACTGCGTTTTTAGCTTGATTAACTACGTCTTTCTTTTCTGTTCAGATGTTACTGTCTTTTTTTCTTTTTTCGTAGTAAAGATTTCAGGCTTTGTTTATTTGATAGCATATTGGTATACACATAGTGTAACTAAGCAAAGAGATAATCAAAAAGTACAGTGACTATCAGCCTTGACTTAAAAGCATATTGTGATAGATATCAGTCATGAAGATATTATTGATATGAAGCACAGTTATGCTCTATTGTATTGACTGCATGCATGTATCTCCACCCCCCACCCCCCAACCCCCAACCCCATGCTGTCTGACATAGATTCATCACTTGAACACTCATTTCAATTGATTGAGTTAGTGATAAGATTTGGCACATTTCGCTAATGACAGTTAATCACCCCAAATGCTTTCTTAGATGTGAGAGGATAAAATGCACTGAAATTTAAATGCTATATTTAAATAGATGATGTTTTAGAGTATTTCTATATGTAAATCATAGTGAAACAGATGCTTTTCATGCCAATAATTCCCTTTATATGCCTTAAAAAAAAGATTGTTTCTTTTAGTTATGGAACATGTTTTTAAAAAAATGTACTTAAACCTTCTCAAACAAATATTTTATTACAGGACAACAAATTACTTATCAATGCGTACTAATGTGATGCATGGCAGTCATCTCAAAAAGATATTTGGTAGTGTTTTCTTTCTACTCATTTTATTTTCTTGACATGCAGAGTTTTTATTTCATAATCCAAAGAAACTTAACAGGGTCTATGATAATGGTACATCATGCTCTGGAAAAAGAAAGTTACTTTATGTGAAGTGTGCACAGGCTTTCCTGTCTTGGCAGAATTTTTGTATCATCTTTTTTTTCTCTCAAGTGTGAGGAATTTGGGATAAATACCTTCCATCTCCAGGAACCTTGCATGTCTTGGTAAAACTTTATTTTCCTCATTATCACTCAATTTTCCTTGATTATCGTAACTGTTGTTCTGATATATATTATTAAACTTGATATTGATTTCTCTATAATTATCTTATTTGTTTTAACATTAATTTAAGATAAAAAGCCCCTTAAAAAACTGGCTTTGTTTTGGACCGAAAGTATCTGTAAGTGTAGTTCCGTCCAGTACTGTATAATGAAATCATTTGAAATAAATACATTTAAGTCATGTTTTTTAACTTTTTTCTTGTGTCATAACCAGTTACTATAATATGTGTGTGTATGTTTTGTCGATTGAAATGCTGTGTTTTCTTTTAACTGTATCTAGCTATGTTTTTCTTTAGTGTTGATTTTTATCTCTTCCCTTGCCTCCCCTTCTTTGTCTGTCTGTCTGTCTGTCTGTCTGTCTGTCTGTCTGTCTGTCTGTCTGTCTGTCTCTCTTGCTCTCTTGCTCTCTCTCGTTCTCTCTCTCTTTCCCCTTATCTCTTTCTTTCTCTCTCTCTCAGTGTCTCTCTCGTTTTTTTTCTTTCCTCCCATCCCTCCCCCCTTCTGTCAATCTCGCACTCTTTCACTTTATCTTTCTTTCAAGCTCTGTTTGTATGTCTGTCTGTCTCCTTCCTCTCTCCCTCTATGTCCCACCCTTCTATCTATCTATCAATCTATCTATCTATCTATCTATCTATCTATCTATCTATCTATCTATCTATCTATCCCCCTCCCTCTCTCTTTTCACCCTCCCATGTCCGCCTCCAACCAATCCCACTTGCCACTTGCATGTCAGATTCACCTTGAGCTTGAACTTAACCTTCGCAGTCTAGGAGAATATTGATCTGATCTGACCTGATCAGCTGATATATTATGTCACGACACGGCGGTATCAGGGGCTCGTCAATTTTGAGGCACATTGAGTTATTGGTATCTTCCTATATTATTATTTTACCTGTTCATTTTTCTTATTTTTGACTTACAAAAAAAGTACCAACCCGTCTTGATCTGAAGTCGAGATATTTGTGATGGAAAAAGATGGCAGTCGCCAGGCATCAGAGGTAAATTCAATAAGAAAATAGCTGCCAAAGTTTGATGACATCTAAAGCTTGAGAGTCATTAAAAACAGCAAATTAACATTCCATGTGCCTCTGATCAACGTTTTTCAGTAAAATTGCACTCTGAAATTAAATGTTTTTAAATTAATGGATGTAATAAAAAGATGTTAACTTAAAAGATAAATCTATGAAATTACCCAACTGGCGGTAAAGGTAGGTTTCTCGAATTTCTTTTTTTTTTAAATCTTTCACGAGCACCTCATTTCACCACGATGCCACGCATATCAGTCTGTACTACGTGGTCAGATAAAAATCGAGGTGATAATCTGACCTCATAGGACGCTATCAGTCCTTTAAAATGAAGAGCTGCATATAATCATTCGATGTTCAGCGCGATCCGTCAAATACTGTTTGGAAGATCTAATTTAGAATACTTGTGATCCGAATTCTCATAATCCGAATTCAGGGAATACAATATGTTAACGTTGGAATTGAAATCCCAACATGCTTGTACCTGAAGTCGAGTTTACTTATTGTATTAATAGTTACAGTTTAATTTACAGTTCCCCTTAAAATCTGACGACATATAATATCTGTATTTCTGTGAGTCTGTTGGTCTCCCCCC